CTGGGAAACTTAATCAAAGGAAATAAATAATTAAGGGAAACTTAATTAAGGGATTATTTAAAAAGATTTGTGACTCAACTCACATTGGTGCATAAAAAAAATTCATGATATATTTCTCCTAAGAGGTTGGATATTCGCCAAGGTGGAGATTTGTTGGGTATATGCATTTATCCTAAGGGGCTGGATATTCGTCAAAGTGGAGATTTGTTGGGTATATGCATTTCTCCTAAATGACTGGATATTCGCCAAGGTGAAGATTTGTTAGGTATATGTATTTCTTATAAGGGGTTGGATATTCGCCAATGTAGACATATGTATTTCTCTTAAGGGTCTGGATATTTGCCAATGTGGAGATTGAAAAGTGTTAGGTATGACTCATATACCATAAATGAGACAGATGCTGGAGTGGAGCGGAGCCCACGAGCGGAGTGGAGCGAAAGGATTTGTCCAATCAGAGGAGTTTCATTATGTGGGTTGGAGGTGCGTGGGCAACACCTCGATATCAGAGGAGTTTCATTATGTGGGTTGGAGGTGCGTAGGCAACACCTCGAGTGGGCAACACCTCGATGTTTGGTACATGGGTAATTTAAATAATTACATATTGTACTATAGGGTTATATATATGTCATGTTTGTAACCCTAAGAGAGTCTCTGAGTCTCTAAGATTATGAATCTTGTATTTTGTACTCTTTTATAATTATTGAAAAGGAAACCACCACTCTGCTCCCGAGGATGTAGTCATTTTTGCTGAACCTCGTAAATTTATGTGTGTTCTTTTGGATTTGTGTCGATTTTTATTTTTCTTCGCCCTAATTTCTCAACAGGAACAATTGTCATTGAGTTGGATCCATTTAGGAGAAACTCGATCAGGAATCTTATTCTATTGATTGAGAAAGTTGCTAGACAATTGATTGAAGATTCACCCACAATGGGAGCGGAAAGAAAAAAAAAATTGTATGGCCGAGCCTAGTGAGAACAATCAAATATAAGTTTGTGATTACACAAACACGCTCATAACCACAAACGGTAAAAGGGTTACACCTTTTCTCAAAATACAATGTTCGTATGTCAAATTAATGGTTGTGTAGGAGTCAGTAGTGGTTGTAGTTGGGAGTAGTTGTGGAGCATCGGTATACCATCTTCGGGGCATGTTGTTGCATAATGTCCTAAATGACACACTGTTTCTAAGAGGCCTCGTTATTCTCTAGTGTTAGTCTTTACTTTGCATGATGTTTCATTGTCATGAGCAGTGCATGACCAAGAGTGGTTTGCGATTGTCGACGGTGGTTGGTGACTTCAAGAGCAGGATACGTTTGTTGGGTCTTCCATTTGGAACGAAACTGAAATTTAGCTCTTCTTTTCCCACACCAGCTCAATGTCTAGCTCATCCTCCAATTCAAGCTCTAAGTTCTTCAAGAATGTGATGGGACTCTATTTATAGAGTTTAGGAGAGACCTCCATACAATTTGTTGAGTGGCTCGGAGAAGTTCCCTCAAGCCGACAATGTTTGGCAGACATTTAAGTGCTTTAAATCTACCAAAATTGAGTGATATTGAGCTCATTGGATTTATCTTATTGAGACGCTTAATTCAACTACGAGCTCATTGGATTTATCTTATTGAGACGCTTAATTCAACTATGAGCTCCTTAAGATTTAAAATCCATATCACCTTTCAAATTATCTCTTAAAGCCTCCAAAAGTAATTAAACATTTTGATCTATTCTTGATTTGACTCATATCATACCAATTTTTATGTTATAATGTTCATTTATTCGAACCGATCGAATTTTAAGGTTTGTACTAATAAACTCGAGATTCATATTAAATATAGTAAATGATAGTTTTTATTAATGACTTAACACGTATATTTAAATACATAAGAAGCTGGTATGCATGTAAATGCCCCCTTCTAATTAAATGTGTGCACTTTACTGAAAAAAAAAAGACGAATAAACAATTATAATTAATAACTCTTTTAAAAAACATAAACAATACTGCGTTTTAAGAATTATAGTACGGAAGATTTACGGGCATAACCAAAATTCAACCAAGATTAAAAAAAAAAATGTGTTTGATGAATTTATAAAATTTCTGATTTAACGTCCGAATTTTACCTTCGTTTCATGTTAAATCCAAATTTAATAAATTCTGAAAAAAGGTGGATTTCATGAATCCGAATTTATTCAATCCTATGAACATTAAATTCTTCATGCAGTCAAACACCCCCTAAAGATGATTTGAAAGTTCAATGAAGTGTTATATGTTGTGATCCCGCTCAACAACTAATCTTTTAGAGACAACATCATCACTAGGAGTGAGAGTTACCATCCTCAAAACATGAGCGACTTATAGACAAAGATGACCACAAACGAGTGAAAGCATTTCATCAAATATCTTATCAAACAAGAAAGACCTAACACCATGCGAAGACATTTTTCTCAAAATGACTCCAAGAAGACTTGAATAGAAGAAAATGGTAGAATTACATACCACAAAATTCTTATGTGTTTACATATCTAACACCTAAACTTCAATATTTACATACAAGTGAGCTTACCTGTGCACGAAAAAATATATTCACTTTTTAAAAGTTAAAATGATAGCACTTTTGATGTGATATGAAAGATTTGTATGGTATTAATATAAAAATTGAGGGATCCCAAAGAAGGTTGCAGCAGCTTGTGGATGATCACTGAGATTTCCTAATCGCCTTCAGTTATTATAAGGAAAGTAAACAATTAGACCAATAACCATCAAGGTGCTGAAAATAAGATGGTGGCTGATGAATGCGCAAAGAATGCTTAAGCTAAACTTAAGCTGCCACCAAACCATAATAAGATGGGAAAATAGATAGGATGAATGGAACAATTACACTATTAATTTTAAAATAAAACTATAAATTAAAAATATATATATATATATATATATAATGCGTTCTAGAAAATTCGCGGTGATAGAGTAACAAATTATCGTCTTAGTATTGTACGAGAATTCAGCACACATACAGATGAAAGAGAAACATATACTAGTGACACCAGAGGTTTTTACGCGGAAAACTCGTAAAAAGAAAAACCACGGGGCATGACCCAATTGCGAAAATCCACTATAAAAGATGAGTATACAGGTCAATCCTTCTACTAAATTAGAGAAGATGAAATTACAGAGTTGTATAACAATACTCTGACTGTGGTTCTTGGTGATATCACGTTGCAAGAGTCATTTTAGATTGTTTTAGAAGCAGTAGTACGTCGTGAGTGTTGTAGATTGTTGCTCCAAAAGCGTTGATTAGCTAGAGAAACTGTAGTAAGCAATTATGGGGACTGCGGACCACATAGGCCTTAGTGGTGAATATAAATGACGACTTTAGACCGCAGGGGGCAGGAGTCGGGAGATGCACGAGTTGTGGACCATGTAGACCGTAGTGACGAGTATGAATGACGTTCGTAGGTCGCAGGGGTGGTAGTTGAGAGCTGCATGAGTTGTGAATCACGTAGGTCATTGGAGCACGTATAAATAACGCCCATATGTCGCGAGGGCATAAGTTGGGAGCTGCATATATTGTGAACCACTTAGGTCGTTGGGGCGAGTATTAGTGACATCCGTAGGCCGCGAGGACCGGAGTTAGGAGTTACATGAACTAATGACCCCGTAGGTCGTCGTTGACGTTTGGATCGTCGTGATGAACAATTGTCCCACAGACGGGAAATGGTTACTATATTTTTCAGATTATAACATTGTCGATTGACGGTGTGTGGTTGATACTGATTGACGCTGGTAGTTAGCGGTGGTTGACGACGGTTGACCGTAGTCAATGGCTGTTGATGGTTGATGATAATCGGTGGTTATCGATAGAGGTCAGCGGTGGTCGACAGCGGTCGGTAGTGATGCTGAGCCGCAGCTTCTCCTCAAAGTCTAAGGCTTTTTCTAGACTTCAACCCCCTCTCATGTAAGGGGTGGGGTTGTGGTCTATTTATAGTATTTTGGATGCAATTAATGCATTAATATGAACAATTTTGATCGGATAGTTCATAGAGTTTCTTTGAATCATACGGTGTTTAATGGACATTTGAGCGACTTAATGATGTCGAAATTGATTGATCTTGTGATCGTTGGATTCGTCTTGTCGAGACACTTGATTTGAGTATAGACTTTCTAGTATCGACATATGTTTGACCTTCCAAATGTGTCCAAAAATCTTTTATTTGTGGTTTCACGACTTGATATGGGCTCAATTTGACTCGGATCAGACTAGTTTTTATATCATTAGGTTCGTCTCTTTGAGCCGATCAGTTTCACTATAAGTTTGTTGAAATCGGAGCTCTGAATGACTTTTTATCAAGGTAAGAACATATATATATTCTTTGAGCGTATCAGTTTCACTATAAGTTTGTTGAAATCGGAGCTCTGAATGACTTTTTATCAAGGTAAGAACATATATATATACAGAGCTCCGATTTCAATTTGGCCGCATTAAAAAAATACAACCGTTCGTATTTGACTCGTTTGCCTAACAAGCTTAACAAGAGTTGTTCGTGAACAACAAGCTATTTTAACGGCAAAGGGCCTTTTGTACAGTCATAATCACGCAATCATAGTATGTTAAGCATTACGGGATATTTAAATCTTATTATATATATTAAAATATTCATTTAAATAAAATTTAATATATTTATATTCTATTTTTTTAATTAATTATGATTTTTGTATCCTTATAATAAATTAAATTATTTTAAAAAATACTCATCAATTATTATTATTATTATATATATATATATATATATA